GGTTTACACTTATAGCAAGGAGTGTATTAAATTCCACTTTTGGAAAGTGGATGTATTTTTCCCTTCTAATGCATCCATTTCGAACCTTTTGAGAAATACTTTTTACCTTGAATATATATTCATGGCAAGTGTCACTATCACATGAAATGCAAACTGCTCATCAGGAATTGAGGTATCTTTATATGGATTACTTCTTGTTTAATAGGGGTTGCTGCTCTTATTCAATTTCATGGTGTACATGTGCTTTGGAAAAGGTTTGGGCACTTATTTTTCTTCATATTCCCCATTGAAGGATTTACTTGACCTTAGCCCTCTAGAAACATATTTCACCACATTTCTTAATGCATTCCCCTCATGCATGGCTTTTTCAGCTTTCATTGTCTAGAGGCACGCATGCATGTTTTTTATTGAGAAATATTAATTTAATGGCATGGTGATTCATGGTCATCTTAATTATAATTTTTTTTTCTATTGGATGTTATTGTAACTTGTTCATTTTCATGAGAAAGTAGGGCTTAAATATCCATGCTTACAAGGTCCCCTTGGTAGAGTGATTTTCCCAAATAAATATGTTTTTAATGAACTTTTATGTTCAGGAAAATTTACAATAAAATAATAAGATGAGAAGGGGAGATGTGACATGGCAGTATGGTACAAAAGTGAATGACAAAGGAAAAGTTCGATGTAATTTTTGTAACAAGGAAATGGGTGGTGGTATTTATCGCCTAAAAGAACATCTTGCTTGGGTAAAAGGTAATGTCAACGGTTTTAAAGAAGTGCCACCAGAAGTAAAACAACAAATGATAAAAAAAATTATAGAAGGAAAAAGAAAAAAAATGCAGAGAGAAAGGGATGTAGAGGAGATAGGGAGGGGGTACGAAAGTCCAATAGATGAGGAAGATGACGAAGAGGCAGAATTTGAGGCGCAAATGGAACAAGCAAGGATTGCCAGTATTCAAGAGCTTAATTATAGACAAATAGAAATTCAAGAGATGTATGGGAGAAGGGATAGTGCATCTAGTAACCGTCAACCTCAAGAACATGTAGTACTGGGTAGGGGAGGATGTGGGCCTTTGGTTAGATTCACATCTAGTATATTGAGATGTAGTTTCTCTAGTCGCCCATCCTCTTATAGTCAGTCATCTACTACTCAACGACATGAACCCATAGATGTGCCATCAATGACCCGCGAACCTTATGGACTTGATCCCCACAAGTCACAATATCATAAAAAAAAATTAAAATTTTCGTCAGCAAGTGTATTAATTGAAAAAGCGAGAAAGATGATTAGCATGTTCTGGTATGCTAATGCACTGCCATTTAATTCTGGAAGTTCAGACTTCTACCCCACAAATGGTAGCTTCTATAGCTGAGGCAGGATTAGGTGTTAGAGGTCTAATTTCGAAGGAGCTTGCAGGCCCATGTTTAGAAGCTGTTGTTCATGATGTTGATAAGCATATTGCACAGTTCAAGGTCTGCTGCCTAGGTACAGGAGTGACCATCATGACTGACGGTTGGAAGGACAAGTCCCATAGGTATCTTGTCAATTTTTTAATAGGATGCCCTAGGGGCATGGGCATTGTTTACCACTGTCGCATTGATTTATCAAAAAAGAGACATACTGGGAGACTGATATGCGCACACCTAGATAAAATTGTAGATGAGGTTGGGCCTGAAAATGTGGTCCAAGTAGTGACTGCTAATGTTGCGAATTACAAAAAAGCAGGCTTGTTGCTAATAGAGAGAAGACCCAATCTTTATTGGACTCCTTGTGCTGCCCATTGTATTAATTTGATGGTCAAGGAAATAGGGAAGCTGAAGAGGGTTAAATATTGTATTTTGAAGAGCAAGTTGAATACAAGGTTCATATACAATCACACGTATCTTCATACTTTGATGAGGGAGTATTGCATGCCAGAGATTGTTAGGGAGTCCACTACTAGATTCGCTACAACGTTCCTTACGATACAATCGATATTGGTAAACAAGGCAGAATTGAGGTCAATGATACACTCTAATGAATGGCAGACTGATAGGGCAGCAATGAGTCAACTTGGAAGGCAGGTTGAAACCACCCTTCTCGATTGGAGGTTCTGGGCTCGATGTAACCATGTTGTTTCTGTAACGGAACCTTAGTACGGGTGTTGAGGTTAAGTGACTCTGATGATAAACCCGCAATGGGGTTTCTGTTCAATACAATGAGACGTGCAAGGGAAGCTATATTTGAGAATAACATATGGAATGAAGAGATATTGGAGATCGTAGGTGCAGAGACCAACTGCACCAGGATATCCATGCAGCAGGTAATTTATGATTCACTGTTGCAATTCATGACTCTTTCTCAACTCTGAAAAAAGTTACCGTAATTAATGATATAGCAAACCATGTGTAGGGTTAATCGACAAAATTTGTACTCCAATGCCACTTTAGATGATGCAGATATCATGGAGGGGGTAAGAAACTGCATCTACATGCATGAACTTGATCTTGAAACTCAGATGGAGTGTCTGCAACAGGTAGACCTTAATCAAAATGTGCATGTAATAAACTTTCAATTTACAATAACGAATTGCATTTCTATGTAATAGTAATTTCTTGTATACGCATCTTGTTATTTCTAGCTTATCATATACATGGAAAAAAATGGGGAACTTGCATACAACAATGCCAAAAAAGCAACTGTAAAATTGCAACCAGGTTAGTTTTAAGTTAAAACTTGCAATAGTTTAGTACACTACTATTTGTGGGTTTTTTTAAATCAATTTATTTTCTATTGTTAATTATTTCTATGATTGTCTGTGTCAGCACAATGGTGGACGATACACGAAATTCGAACAAAGCAAGTGCAAGAGTTTGCCGTTAGAATTTTGAGTCAAACCTGTGCTACCTCGGGCTGTGAGAGAAACTAGAGTACATTTCAATGGATATACGCCCCGAGACGGAATAGGTTAAAGACACAAACGCTGCACAACTTGGTGTACGTTCATTATAATTTGAAATTGAGAGAGAAACATATAAGGAGGCCACAGACTACACGCCGATCAACCTTGATTACATCTTCCGGAGGGACCTCGCCGATGAGTGGGTGTCACTAAGGACCCCACTACTAGACAAAGATTTTCTTAGTGGGGTAGTTGCCGATATGGATGATAATGTGAATGTTGCAGCATCCAATGAAGGAGACATGACAATGGACATGGATGATGATTATACACAGGATAAAGATGAGGCACAAGCTGATGAAACAGATGGGACAATGGAAAACAATTGGCAAAGAACCAGTCATCCAGGAATGTGAAGAGGCGCAACATGATGCAGTGCCTGATGAACAAGAAGATTTAATGAGATTGGCTGGGGAGGAAGTCCAAGCATTGAGGCATAGGAGTTACTCAACAAGGGAGAGACGAAGCCGTACCCGTCACCGTAACCTGGTTATTCATGATGATGACAATATTGAAGATGTTGAGGGCCATAACACAGAACAGGGTGGGGGTAACACGGAACAAGGTGGGGGTAACATAGAACAGGGTGTAGGTAACACAGAACAGGGTGGGAGAGAGTATGAAGGCTAGACGAGTCTAGGAGACTTTGGCCAAGGAGGAGAGTATGAAGGCTGGACGAGTCTAGGAGACTTTGGCCAAGGGGGTACCACAAGAAATATTCCTGACTGACAAGGGGGCACAACTGCGGCATTACAGACTCCACCAAGCCTTACTCAGATTTTTCGCCCCGTAAATCCTGATAGTGAAACACAACAATATCATGATCCCCCTCGCCACTCTCATTACTACACTCAATCTAAGCTTTTCAATTTTTTTTTAAATTTTTTTGGACGTTGTTTACCTTTTTTTTTTAAAAGAGAACTACTTGACCTGTTAAAACGGTTAACCGCCTCGGTTAGTCCAGTTCCGGTTCAAACCGCTCCCAGCCCCAAAACCGGTTAACCATTCCGGTTCGATTTTGCAAACATTGACAACAACTAAACTGATTGTTGGAAAAATCAAATAAAATAGATTTAAATGTAATAGAAAATGCTCATGATTTAGAAATAACAAGTCCCAAATATTCAACATAGACAATCTTTGAATAACGTTTTGACCAAGTGTCACAAAAAAATAGTATGGGCTCAAGACTTGGGTTAGCCTGAGCCTCAGAATTATGAACCTTTAATCAAATGTCCTTTATTTTCCAAGTTATCTAGATAAGGGTTTGAAACATTGAAGTCTTAGCAAAGGCCTGATGACTCAATCAGGAGTAACAAGAAATGGCATGTCAAAACCTGAGTCTTTCCCTACAATGTTTTATCCTATTTTCAAAACTACACTGGTGTTGGTTTGAGCCCACCAAGTGCATTCCAAGTACCTCACGTTTTTTAACGTAGATTTCAGTCATGCCGTATACCATAGAGATCAAATATAAGCAATTAAAACCCTTGGGGTTTGCAATGACTTCATTTCATATTTTGATTGTAGGTAGGTTAATAAACTTAGGGATGAGTAGATTGTAGTTGACAGATCTACAATAAATCACAAAAAATGCACAATGAAATAAGTGCAATAACCAAAAGGAGTCCTACCACTAGGCAAAGGAATGTACATAAGTTGGAATATCCTTTCATTAAGAGCTGAGTACACTAAATTTAAAGCAAGTATAAGCTCCTCTAAACAGTAACTAATATAACCACCATCGTCATCATCATTAGAGCTTTTTTCCAGCTATTTTGGGATCGGCTACACAAATCCTGATCCGTCATTCTACTCTTTCAAGGGCCACACCCTCAGTAAGGCCATAAGTCCCCATATTTTTCTCACTATTTCCAACCATGTCCTTTTGCCCTTTTTGAACCTTCCACTTGAACTAACTCGCACCTCCTAACAGGTGCTACACTGGGTCTATATTACACCTGCCCAACCCACTTAAGTCTACTTTCTCTCATCGTATCACTTATTGCAGCCACATCTAAGTTCTCTCGAATGTATTAATTTTGAATTCTATATCTTCTTGTCTTGCCACTCATCCATCTTAACATCCTCATCTCAGCTACACATATTAAAAAAAAAAAAAGGTCGCCAATATGGCCATCCAATGTAGCATCATATTGATTCAAATCCAACATCCATACATTAATAATAATCCAATGTTAATATGTTCCTTTATATCCAGTAGGAAGATGTGCGATTTGGAAAAGAAAACATATTTCAAAAGAGAACATACAAACGCACGGGTGACACACACGAACACACATACATTCAGATATGACACAAACATTGAAACAATTAGTATGGATATCATTCCAATCACAATGGATGCCAAAAGGTAACTTTGTTTACCTGAAATAGCTGCTGTATGCTTCCAGCCACATGAGACCTGCAGCAAGCTCGTAACTTCAAAACCATAAGATTGCAGTCGACATACTTCTCCATGAACAATAGTGATCCATGTTTCTCAGATACAAATTTCACATAAAAAGCAAGACTGCAGCTTAAAAGTTATGCAAAGGCATTGAAACAACCTCTGATGTGGGAAGTCCCAGCAAAGGTCCTTCGACTCGTGTTGGAGAGTAAACAGGATTTGGGTTGCTATGGTCATTGAAAATGCTTCCATTAGTTGTGACTAGAAGCACATGAAACTTGAAACAGAAAAGTTTGCAGATATAACTAATGTATACAAGAACAAACGAGAACATTCCAAAGTAAATCCTTTTCGGAAGCATACCCAAGGCCAAGGCAACCATTTTCATTTGTACCCCATGTATAAACTTCCCCACCACCTGAATGCATAGTTATAGGAAACTGTAAATATTATGCTTATCAGTATCAATAAGCCATGAAACAAAGACTTTTCTCTCGCATGGAGTTATGAGAATAATGTTCATTATACAATATGCAACTAGAATAAACAAAGATGATTCAAAATTATGAAACACTTTGGCAACTGATAAGAAGTTTACATGCAATCCCAAAAGAAAAGATGACATTTAAAAGTTTAGGGTACCAACTTGCTTGCTGAGAATCAGTCTTTTCAAAAAGAACTACAGCATTTTCTGAGAATCACGAGATGGAAAGTTGTCATATGAATGCATCTGGTGGAATTGAATATTTGTTAAGCTTGAAAAACCAACCTACAGTGTGAATCAAATGTCTACATGAGAATTTATGTCGACTTAAGAACCCTTCGTCCTTGTGCTTTACTCAACACAGGGCTGATGTGTTGACAGCAAAACCATCCTTTCCTATATTGATTTTGGTGATAAAAAGAAGTTAATGAGCACTGAGAACCTTTGGATCTGCAGAGGGTTCAAATGCTACTGCTTGATTTAAGCTTAGCGTGTTCGGTCCTACATAACTATATTTTCCTCACCTGAAAGTGAATTCAATACTTTCCAGTATTTCATGGGCCATTTGAGCATGAGTTAGCAGAGTAATCCTAGTCTGTAAATCATGTGTCAGGTAAGATGCAACTTATCAAGCCTTCAAAGTGCTTCATGTCAAATGTAAGTAGAAGAATTAAATCAGAAAGACATAAAATTTGTATATTGTAAATATATATATCGTTAATGAAGAGTGATTTCCAAAGAGTAAATAGGAAGTACTTGTTACAACACACGTATGATAACCACCACATGCCAGATCCTGAGAACATGGAATTTCATTGATCCTCGAGGGTGATGTTGAGTTTTTTTTATCTCCAAAACCCTGGCATTTCACCAAGAATGAAGAAATCAGTGCAAGTGATACTCTTTATTTATATAAAACGGCTAAGATTTTGCAACAAGGGAGTTTTAAACAAAACAAAAAATATTCCTTTGCACCTACAAGTTTATCAGATGCTTCCTCCCCAAACGTATAAACCGTGCCATTTTCTGCAGCAAGATTAAAGGGATAAGGGTATCAAAGTTTTCTTCTTCTTGTCCTTGTTCTTCTTCTTTTGCTTTCTCAAATAAGGCATCAAAGTAGTATAAACTTCATTGAAACAACACAATATAATGAGGGAACTACTTAAGAGCAGATGACTGACCATCGATGCAAGCAGAGTGCAGCAAACCAGCAGCAATTCTCTTAATCTACCGGCCAAAAATGTAATTCATGTCAGATTTTTTAAGAAACAAATAAGGAAAAGCTCATTATTCAACAACAACATCAACTACTACATCCATCATTATAAGCAGTAATCTAAAACCCTAGTCGCAATAAAGACCTTGGTTCCCTCAAATGTTTTTATGAGCCTGGGTGTATATTCACTGCAAAAGACGAATCCCATTAGCAATTTTGTCGGATTTATAGAAAAATTTTAAATACACCAAAAGAAGAAAACAAGAAAATGTTAAATACAAAATCAAGTTGTAAACCACATGACTACGTATAAATATTCCCAGGTCATTTTTTAAAAAAGGTAGTCACGACTTCATATCAAAGAGTACTGTTGGCATTGGCAGAGTCCTTTACTGACAACTAACATTTTTCTCTTTGGGAGGACAATTAAAGTTCATCAAAATCATCTCTTCCAGACAATCTATAAAACTTTCCACCATTGGAGTTCTTACATACACCCTCAGTGCATCATCATGCTCTGCAGTGGCAAATTTGCATGTAGCAATGTAGACGATTGCCATGACTGATCTTAACTTACCATTACTGACTTCAGGTGCCATGACTGATCTATGCATGTCATAGTTTTCTAATCCATCAATTTTGATGATAACAGACTACATTAAGGGCTGACAGGATCAATTATAGTCATCATCACTATCTTCAATATCAAATGTACTGTAAATGAAATACATATAATACTGTTCAACATAAGAAAGGAATACCACTAATGTACTTGCAAGTTCAAAATGCTACCAAGCAGTCTAGAACGACCCTAAAGGTCGCTCAAATGCACATCGAGATCCAGGAAACCTAATGCTTTCTTGATGGCTTCATAAGATACATCATTTGAAATCAATAAGACGCAGTGAATCCCACAAATGGAGTTGGGCAATAGAACACTTAGAAAACCTTCATCGAATGGGCCAAATAGAAGCTAATCATTGGATCAGTAAAGCCTCATGTATTCATATCCATACTCCACAAATAAAGAGAAACTAAGAAGTACACGGAAAAAAATAGAAGCAAAAATAAAGAACCAAATATAAGGTAGATAATTAGTAGAAGACAACAAAGACTGATATTCAACAATAGAGTAAAGAGACAAGAGACCTTCCATTGGGAGGGTCAACCTCTCCCAATTGAGGCACATTGTGATGCGTTTGAGTGGTCTTCACTAAACAATTGACAGATATGACATTGGCAACCAGGACACTTAAGAAGATACTTCGTAAGTGTGGCCAACCTAGACAACACAAGGAATTTGAAACTGTTTAAAAGGAAATTTTTATTTCAATATTGGGAAATATTTAGGCTGCAGATACAAAAATCGTCAAACAAATCAAAGAAGGGTGGGTTAGTGTGATATGTTTTTTTGAGATACATTTCAAGGTTTAAACTGTCGACCTCATATGAAATCGGATGTCTAAGGACCACTCACGTATTCTGTTTCAAGAAATAAGTCCATTTGGACTTCAGAATATCCAGCTAGGGCCCTAGCAATACCTCATGACCCAAAGATCAATGAAAATGTTTCTCAACGACAAGATAGGAAATTAGAAGGGTTTCAATTGCTAACTCAAAAGCTTCTGAGTTTTATTTGAGATATAGGACTTTGTCCCTTGGTGAACTTGTTTAGTTTTGAATGACTGGGCTTGCTTTATAAATGACTCTCCAAGGCCTTGGACCACAATGGAAAATGGGATCTCATCACCTTTTCAACTAGGGTGACTCATATTAGGTGCAAGTTTCACAAAGTCAAGCCTTGTCAATTGGAATCATCATAAGGCCAAGATTCATTTTTGGAGCAAGTTACATGCTTATATTTGTGGACACCTAGATCAGGAGTGATAAAAAGGAAGTTTTTATAGCTTGATTCTAGTTTTATCAATAATAGTTGTAATACAGTCTAATAGGGCATTTTGTCATATGCATAATATTTGTTGTAATTGTCTAGTCCAGTGGGGTTAGAGCTGCCAATGAGACGGGTGGCCTGGCCCTAAAAAACTAGGGCATGGGCTGGCCCGGTCCAGGCTCAACCTATTGCCAGCCCTTAGTGGGGCATTAAGTCATAGAACTTATGCCCTTTGCCTCATGGCAACCATTTTTTAGCCTGATTGGGGTCACCAAGAATTGATTTATCCTCTCCTAGTTTGCAACCAAAGTTTTTCAGAAATGGCAGGAGACTAATGTCAGCAGAGATTGACTATGATGTAGCTAGGGTTTTTTTATTTTTTTAATTTATTATTTTTTAGGAGACTGAAATTGAGTTTGAGTGATTAGGTTTTCTAGCTTTTCTCTTTACTTTTTTAGGGTGCTTATGTCCTTTTGTTGTAGAGAATTAAGGGGTAGAAGTGGAAAGTTAATTTTGAGAAGTTGAAGAGTGAAGATATAATAGTGGTTAGGGCTTGTTATGGGGCAAGTTTGGATCTATGGTTGCTGTTATTAATACATAAGTGCTGGTCAATAGAGAAGAAGAATAAATTTTGGTCTTCTGAAAAGATCTTAGGGTGGATTCTTTTGAAGACCTGGAGGGTGGGTATGTCTATTGGGGTATGTGGCCTTTGAAGGCCTTGAGAGCATGTAGCAATCATGGCTATAGTGTTGTACTCTAGTGGGAGTGTGGTCCATGTGGGACCAGAGAGACATGCTTCATAGTGTCCATTGACTCAGCCAGGTTGGGTGGTCTAGACTCGGGACTGGAGTCCAAAATACTTTAGCCTGAGCAAGACACAACTGTGCAGGATTTGCAGGATTAACCCTTGTTGAAGTTGGAGAGATGCCCATGGAGGTTGCTTAAGAGGTTACCGGCCTCCTATCTATGGTTGGCGCGTGAAAGGGACAGGGTCAAATCCTCAATATTACCATCGCGTGGTGTGTACATATGATAGCCATATCTATGGGAAGTGACCTGTTGGAGTAGGATGTGTGCAATGTCCGAATAAAAGCCCCTTGAACCATTTTGATAGCGTGCACATGTCGATGTGAGACATGACTTACTCTTGGGAGGAGCATATAATCCACATACTAGACCAATGTTCCCTCTATTTATTGGCCATCTTTTATAGATCAAATATTCGACCACGATAGTTAGCATACATGGAGTGCCTTAGTAATTTCACATATTCCTGACCCGATGAATTCAATTGTCTTTTAAGTAGTGATTTTTAAGTTTTAAAAAAAAATTTATAATCAAGAAAATGAATTTTTAGAGTACATTACATATTTTATTTTTGCATCATAAATTTTTAATACAAAAATAAATGTATTTTTCAACATAAAAATTTGTGGTTCATTTTAAAAATAGGAGATTAAAAAGTTATTTTGGGCATTAAAAATATATGTAACCCACGTTAACCCACGTGGGGCCCAATGGCCAAGGGCCCACATGTGGGAGGCTCACTTGGTGTGGGGTGTGGGGCCCACTATGGCTCTTAAGCCCACACACCCCTCTCCTTCCTCTCTCTTTCCAATGGATTGACCAAGTAAAGCTTGGTGGTCTCTTTCCTGATTTGTGATAAGATTGGGTAAGATCTTTTGGATATGATATTTATCCTTTGGATTCAAAGAGAATAAACTAAGGACACTGAGGGGTAAGGGCTCTAGATCCTTCCTTCTATCATGATGGCTGATTTAGGGAATGAAATGATGATATTAAAAGCCATTCTTCACCCCACAGATCATCAGAGATCGATCCAATTGAATCTCAATAAGATGGCAAACCCTAATTGGAGACACCATTATAAGTAGGGGTCTTACTTAACAAAAATTTTGTTTCATCCAGAAGAGCCTCTCTCTCTCTTTCTACCATAAGCCATCACTACTCTCTCTCTAGCCCACAAGGGGTTGCCATGCCCTACAGTAGAGAGCCTAGAATGGCATGCCCCATAGACCCCTATCTTGATCATTTTGACTTATAGTGTGAGCCATATTGTGTTGTGGTGTTCCTTTTGCAGCACATGCGTGGTCTCACAGCCCTTGTCTTCTCAGTTTGTCATAAGCTTCCCTTCTTAAGGAGATTCAGCAGGGACAGTGATTAGTAAGCCAACGGTCTAGGTGATCTAGAGTGGGGTATAGTAGTCCTTGAGAGGTGCTGTGGGGCATTTTGTTTATAGTAATTACTTCCCATGGTTCTTGCTGCTTTTCTCCTTATTGTAATTTTCTGATTTAAGATGAATGAATTGAGGTTGTTACATGGCAGTAAATGAGGTTCCTAGATTTATAATAGCTTATTTTATTGGTTTCGCAATTTAAGTGGCTCTTGTAAGTAGACTCGCCGGTATAGTTGTCAAAAAATTTTGATTACATATACCATGCATGATCTCCATCGGCACTTTTCAAGGTTAAGTAACCTTTGTTTTTATTTCTATTTTTCTGGCTTAGTTTATTTTCTTTCACAGTATCAAATCCTCAAAAGATACATTCATAAGAATGCCACCAAAACCCCCTCTAGTGATCGAGGATATACTACCACAGATCATGCAGACTGTGACTCAACAAATTAAAGAGAACATAAATCAATTCGATGGAAGATTTTTGGGCCCACATTGGTGAAATAAATCAACAATTCAATGATTAAAAAGTATTGATTGCCAAGAAGAGGTTGTTCATAATCCACTAGATCCAACACCAAATCTCAACCTCGAGCTTAATTGCACTCCACAGCTGACTTCAGAGGCTGATACATAAACATTTAGCAAGTTTTGAGGCAAGAACTACGACCTTTGGAGCATCCACATGATCTAGGTATCAACCTCATTCTCCTTGAGTTTCAAGGTAAAGTTTTATTGGATGGATAGGTTTAGTAGAATTTTTTTTTAATGGAATAAATTAAGCGAGAAGCTTGAAAGATAAACCAAGATAATGCTCGATATCCTAGAATTCCACCACAAGTTGCACATGAAGTGTTTTATTAATTGGTCCATTGAAGTGGGAAAAGTACCGAGTGGGACTCAATCACCAACTAACCAAAAGGCCCAAGAAGGATGTCTTGAATCTCCAAGCTTGAGGTTTGGCTTCTCCCAACCTCAAGAGCATGAAACAACTAGGGTTTTCTATTTTTTATTTTAATATTTTTCTAGGTGACTGAAATTGGAATTGTGGTGATTTGGTTGTTTAGTTATTAAGTGTTTGTTGCCATCTTCTTTTTTTTTTGGTTTTTTTTAAAGAATCTAGGGGTAGAATTGAGAATTTAATTTTGAGAAGATGAAGGGCTACAATATAATCGTGACTAGGATTTCTTATGAGACAAGTTAGGAATTTAAGGTTACCAATATAAATATGTCAGTGTTGGTCAAGGAAAACATAAAGGCGAAGAATTGATTTTTTGACCCTGTGGAAAGATCTTTTGGGGTGGACACTCGCAGACCGAGGGAGAAGGTATATTATCTCAAATTTTTATTTTTTACTTTTATTTTTCTTTTCTTGTTTCTTTTATTGCTCACTCTTTCCAACATCAGACTGAGATACAAGTCAAATTGGTGCAGAAGGAATCTTCATTTTATAAAATTTATTCATGACTGTACATAGTGTTGGTACGCAGATGTGTGTGAATGCATAGATACATGCATGCACATAACATGCATATGTGTGTCTGTGCATGTATCACAAATAATGTAATGCACGCTTTCCAACCTCATGTTTCCGAAGAAACCTAACATGCTTGGCTGATGCCTATGTCCAAGTCTTCCAGATCCCCCAGCTCCCCAACTCAATACATGACCATCATCTGCATACATAAGAAAAGAAGATAAAATGGTTAATTGCAAAAAAAAAAGGGGGAGATATTAAGAAAAAGACTATTGTCACTTCTTCACACATTTATGGTAGAGGACCACTAGACTATTTAGCTCCCACAAGGCCAAACAATTTGCTCAACTCACTTAACAAAGAAACAATATATGGCTGAGACCTTATCCAGTTCTATGTATGCTTTTTAATAAATACATCACTCAAAGGAATTTTCAAGGCTTTATTTCCAAACCTGTGATTGCAACCGAGTGTTCTGAGCCTAGAGAAATCTTTCTGATGTTGAACCCAATCAATCTTTCAACCCTTGTTGGGGTAGAAATTATATTCATTGCCTCTGCAAAACAATTCCAATATTTTGCAAATAATGATACTGACATTTCATTGTAGCAATTGAAAACATGCTTGACTGTGAGATAAGTTAAAGAAGGATGGTATTAGGCTACACTTATTGGAGATAACTTTTCTTGGTTTGTGCTTTTTTCCTTCTGTCCCTTTTTGTAGACAACTTTTTGTAATTCTGTGCAACAGGGATTTCTGAAACCCATTGCTACACTTATTGGAGATAACTTTTCTTGGTTTCTGCTTAATTCCTTCTTTTCCCTTTGTAGACAACTTTGTGTAATTCTGTGCAACAGAGATTTCTGCAACCCCTGTTAGTTCGTTCTTTTTCTTTCTTCTTCATGGACAACTTTTTGTAATTCTATGTAAGAGGGATTTCTGAAACCCATCCTATGTATGTAGGAAACTGCATGTTAAGGTTGAGGACAACTCTGGACCATTTAGTACAGTTTCCATAAATGGTGAGCTTCAAAGTACAATTCGAAACCTCAATTAAAATATGCTTCCTATTGAGAGATTGGAATCTGGATCTTTGCCAAGGCCTTGGACACCTAGACCATTCAATGAAATAGCAAACCAATGCAGTTGACGAAGATACATTCAGTCCAATTAGATGGATCGAGCCAGAGACTCTTGTTCATTTTTCAACATCCTTTCTGTTTTCTTTGCCTCAGTAAAAAATATCTATTCAAATCCGTTAGAGATGATTACTGTAAAAAAAATTTAAAAAAATAAAATGGACCCCCGTATTTCACATACCACAGTGCAAGAACAGTGGGAAATGTAGTGAAAGCCAAATGCCCTCCATTTCTAAAACTCTTCTGCACATATATTGATATTGTCATTTATCCTTTCCTTATTGGGTTTTAAGTCCTCCTCAGAAACCTTATTTATTAATAACTATAGAGAATACAGTAACAAAGAAAAATTACTGTTTCAAATGCCACAATAATAAAAGCATCTGGCCGCCAACAAGTATTGTGGTATACTATGCTATGATGTTTGTAAAAGTTGAGAATGTTACTTTTTCCAAGGCCAAGCTGCCCACTAGAATTATTTCCCCACATGTAGACTGCTCCATCAACTGCCAAAGAAATTTCAAAGCAAGAAAAAGAACGTAAAAATTCGCAACATTCCACTGCAAATATGGGTTAGGCTAATCAAGATCGTACGATGATATTTTTCTATCTCATAATATATTAAACAGGAATATACATTCATTTTTGGATCCCCATAATACTGAAACCCATGTGTGGTTATTGAAACTCAAAGCAGCATTCTTAAATGTGAAAAGTCAATCAACAGAGTTTGGCATGATGAATATCAAAGTCACATATTCTAACAATATTTGTATGTACAGAAGGTCACAATTGCTCTTTTCAACGCATTTTTGCATGTGAAGTTGTCATAATCTTTTATTACTAATACAAGCAGGTTCCTCTATATACCAACAGATGTGCCCTTCAAAGAGACTCCATGACATTAATTAAAGTCTTTTTTTTTCCTCAAATACCCAGGAGCAAGGCTGTTCATTCAAACAAATACAACGGGCTAACAGGTATCATCATCTTAAAGACTATTTTACATGGTTAATTCTTTCTCCATGTAATATGGAAGGACATTTCAAGGAATGTGTGCAATGCCAAATGTGGAAGCCCATTTACCCAAAGAAAGGTAAGAAACTAGGAAGTCAACAAAGACTACAAGCAATAATTCGCTCGAATGTAAAATGGAATTTGTCTTAAGATAGGGGAAATAAAAAAAAAACATGCCTTAGGTGAGAACAGTTGATGAGTATATGTGCAACCATTGATCTTATGTTCCTTAGTAACCCTGTATGCAAACGAGTCATTTTGGAGTGTTTCTCTATAGTGTAGAAAAAAAACATGTCCATGACAAAAATCTCTCGCTCCCTCCTTTCCCAATATTGGCTTTGTTTTCCTTAGTTCAAGTTGCCAATTCTCTATCGTATTGGCTCACCCTTTTCCTCCAATCAATTATGCAGCACCATTGACCTCAGACTCCAACACAAGGTGACAAACTTCCAATATGTGACCCTCATTATTCCTGGAAGCAGGTCATTTTTTCCTCTCTGAAGCATGTTAAATCCCAGACAAAGTCTGAGGGTCATGTGACCATCTAGAATAACATATTTATGCTTTAATGGGAAAACTTTCTAGAAATGCCTAAGTACATTAAAAACAGATTTTCTTTGGACAACCAAATTCAAATTAGTGAATTGATTAATGACACTAAGAATCATAAACACAACAAATACAGATGTCCTAGACACTACCACCCTATCAAGAATTGCATTTATCTAATGCAGTGTTTCAAAAAACACTAGGCAGTACCTAGACGGTCGGGGGAGTCCAGGCCGTCCAGCGCCTAGGCCGGCGCCCAAAACCTGGGCGGCCCAGTAAATTTTTTTTTTTTGGGGTTTTTTGAATTTTTTTTTTTTGGGGTTTTTTGCTCTCTAAAATAGTCTCTAATGGGTTTTAGGTTCATTTGAAACCTAAAACCCACAGTTTTGCCCCTTTAGTATTAAAAAAAAAGACCTAAAAATGGCCTCAACGAGAGACAGTTCCGCCCTTGGGCGGGTTCAGGAGACCCGCCTAAGCGGGCGCCCGAGGATACCAACCTAGGCCTGGGCGATGCGCCCAGGCCTTCTGGACCGCCTAGGTGGCGGTCCGCTGTTTGAAACACTGATCTCATAACCATGCAAGATAATGTGAACTTCAAGATGAGCAATGACTCAAGTGATTCCAAGAATGTGCCATACTATCACCATAATGATTCATATAGCCACTACACTATATGACATAATTCAAGAGCACACCAGAATACTTGTCACCATTTATGGGATCAGTGTTTTGCATGGCCCTTTCACAGTGCAACTTGGTTTAGACAAAAGTTCTCGAGTTGATTTTGTGTCATGTTTTGAAGGATTTAGGATGAAGATTTATCAAATAATCTAGGCTTATAAAAGGCAAGGAGATTAGAACCTAGAAATTGAAATTTCTTTTTGATTTTGGGTTTGATATCGAAATAAAAAACAGTTCTTTGGGCAAGTTTCATTGTCTAATACTTTTTTAAGAACAATCTCTTCATTTTTTTCGAGTAACAATAATCTGGCACAAAAATATGCAAAATTCCCCAACACTAAAGATCGACAGAGTGGTTTTTGTACACTTTGTGGAAAACCTATTCCGTGGATATCTAGCAAAAAGGAACATCTTGTTGGTGTTCCAGGGAATGTAGGGGCACAAAAGTTCAAGCCCTGACCTATTTTGCAAAAGGCCCTCACGGTGAACCTTCTCCAGCATTGAGGGGTTCCTATCCCCAATCGCTGCGCAATGCGCCTCATGGATGAAGAAACCAACTCCCACCTTTTCATCCACTGTAAACTTGCTCACAATTTGTGGGATTCTCTGCTTCAACTCTTCGGCCTCAATTGGGTTAGTCCTCCCTCCATCCCGGCCCTTTACGTTCTCTCCATTGACATCCCGTGGCCCAAAGTAGGCAAGCCTTGTGAAAGGAGTTCATAGCAGCATTGATTTGGGTCATTTGGGTGGGGTCAAAACCGAGGTTCCTTCCCTCTTCCATAAGATAACTGCTGGAGTCATGTTCTGGGCTACAAACCACAAGCATTTCAAAGGAACCCCCTCCACGAATTTCTTGCTCCAATGGAAAAACCATATCTACAACCGCTCCCCTAACGGTTCTCGGTCTTGTGTCTGGACCCCTCCCCCTAAGGGATAGACCAAACTCAATTTCGACAGGTGCTCACTCGGTAACCCCTGGCCCGGCAAGTGTGGGTGGAACTTTTCAAGACCACCTCAAGAATATTCTCTCTTCCTTCTCCAGGACCATTGGTCACGCAGACTAACAGCTAGCTGAGTCTAAGGCACTCCTATCTGGACTCAGACTTTTCGATCCCTCTTGGGGTCAACCCCTGATCATCGAAAGAGATGCTCAAAACATCATCACTTGGGCCTCCGGCTCCTCACCTTGCCCCTGGTACCTCGCAACGATTTTTGACGAGATTACTCACATTTGCCGAGATATAGCCATTTCATGGAGGCATACCCGGAGGGAGTCCAACATCCTTGCGGATCAGCAGGCTACAGATGGAGCACTCTCAACTATCTCGTGACCCAGTGTGATTGGGATTTTTTATATGGCTTCTTTTATTATGATAGGGTTTTTGTACTTGCACTAGCCCATTTTTTGTATAGGATTACCATCTCAGTAAGTCTATTTTTTGGCAAGAGGCATGGTCAAGGGGTTTCCTCTTCAACATGATGTACTTTCTTCTTCTCCATACAATTAACATTATAAATAAAAAATGAAATTAAAAGAGAAGTCAGACTCTTTAGTATTTGGAATTTTTGCTATGTGCTACAATGTGCTTAGCTGCTAGAAGCTAATTTATTTTTTAAGTGCTTGGTGACCCTCACTTACCCAAAAAAAAGTGCTTGGTTGGCCTCATACATATTCTTTTGTGTTTGATTTAATGAATGAGTAGATTTAATTTATTTTACAAGTTATTTACATTAGAGTATAGAGACAGTAAATGTCCCAAAAGCTTTAGAGTACACTCTCTCTACATCATAACCAGTCCTCTTCTTCCTCCCCCTTCCTTTCTCCTTCCCCACGTACCATCCTTTCTTCAGCTAGTCACGCTCACCACAACTTCCCCAACCCAATCAGCTTCATTCCCCCCTCTCCTTATGGAGAGAAGGAGGTCAACCAAACCCCCTCCCTTTGTCCATCCCCAAATGAAATTTTCTCCTACTGGTTTAATCTGTCACAGAGCAGCCCTATTAATGGCAGTAACAGAAACTCAATATAATAATCGTCTTATATGGTGCCTACAACCACCACCACTTTATTACAACCACACCCATTTAATTAATCCTCGAGCCCCAGAGAAACCCACTTCATATTTCTCCGTAGCCTCCCTTCAACCCATCCATAACTACCTCGTGATGACAAAACTCTTCAAGACAGCCAAACCTAAAAAACATATACCAGAATGGAGGGGGTTCTCACATTCCAAAACAGGAGCCAGGCCACCTTTTGAGTTACGAACTCATTCAGGGGCACACTTTTACAAGCAGGAGCCAACAAAGCTGAGATCTGATTGGGCCAGAACACAGAGCTAGAAGAACGCCGGTCCTCTCTGCAGAACTGTTTGTTGGTCAAGGTCTAGTCCCAAAGAAACAACCTTAAGGGCATAAAAAAATGGCAGGAGTTCAAGCTTCAATCAGGGCCCATCCACTGTAGACCTCTACAAAATGGCAGATTTCTACTCTCATTCCCTTCCATTGGAATAGACCATTGGAGATCCTTTGGCATTCAAACCATAAATTCAATTACCATTCTAATCGAGTCCTCAAACCCCTCAAACATACCTGCCTCCAATATAATCCATTCCAGAGGCTTTGCTTTCAAAATAGAGTTATTCATGCAGTAGGAGAGAACAAACAATGTTAGCTGCCATGAGAGAGACACTACAGATCACAAAATCTCAAAAGGCGTAACCCTGGACCATAATAGAGATTAGGTATGGTGATCAGTAAGAAAACAAGAGCAATGGACAGAGACAAAACGGTCTTCAGGAGTGCACACAAGTTTTGCTCCACATTCCCAGACTTGGAGAGCCTGCACACTCCTGAGCATGCGAATAGACCCTCTTGGGCAAACCCCCACGTTCCTCAAGGTTCTAGCTCCCACTCATCATCAAAGCTTTTTCCGAACTATATAGGCTCTATCAAGGCTCTAGCTCCTACTCATCAATGCCGATCTCGAATGGGACCCATCATAATTGCAGCCCTGAGTCCTGACACCATTGAGGTAAACATAACAGAAGCCCTGCCATCCTTAATTGACGATTTGACAGCTTCTGCCCATCACCATCCCTCTTAAATGACAATTGTACCCGCAATACCCAAGCCACATCCTCCCAAACCTGATCGAAAACAATGCCCAACACCCCATCGCTACTAATTGCACTGCCTGTCCTCCTAAAAGCTTCAATACACCACCTCCTTTCTCACCATCAACTGAAAGGGCCCCCCA